TAAAATTTTATTTAAAATAAAATTCTGTTAATATATAGACTTTATTCTTTTCATACTAATAGTTTGATACAAATTTAATTTAGTTAACTAAAATTAAATTAAAATAAACATCTTGCTTTATTTTAAATTATAATTAAGAAAGCTATATATATATATAAAAAATTATATCTTAGATATTTTTCAATGATTTCTTTTGGTTAACATATACTAAATCTATTTTTCTATTTTTCTAAAATCTTGATATACAGTTTTAAATGATAAAAAAATAAAACTAAACAGAATTTCTAAAATTTGTAGATATCGAAAGAAAACAAATGATGTTATGATCAGAAGTTTATAAAAATAGATTTAAATCATATTTTAAAAATTTTAAAATATTTTCTATTTATATTATTAGATTATTTAATGTCATATTTAAATAGACTTATTTTAATGTGGATGTATTATTTATTTCCATATTTTTTTTTTTACCAAAAACATAAATCTACATTAAAATGTAACTGTCATGTTATATTTATTCATAAGCTATGTCATCAATTTTATCATGTCATGTTTTTTTTTTTGTAAAAGAGATTAAATAGATGATATATGCCAAATGATTTTTCAAATAATATTTTTAAGGGATATTTAGTCAGTTTGTTCATTGTAAATGCAACACTAGCATGTGACAAACATACTGGCTATTAAACTTAGTCATGTGAAATAAAATAACAATAAACAAAGGATTAACAAATTATTAAAACGAACAATTATAGAAAATATGCAGTGCCCTATAGATAGAGATATAGAGTGGGTTTATAATTTTAGTGAGCAATTTTTGAAACAAAAAGATCATTATCTTGTTACGCCGATCACCAGGCCGTGAGACTTTCCCAGGTGATTTTTTCTATTTACATTCCCGTCTTTTAGAAAGAGCGGTTAAACGATCGGACCAGACAATTTATTATAAACAATTCAAAGTTTGGGGTTTTGAATTCTCGATTCGAGTTCAATTAATAACATTTTAGATTCGGATAAATTTTGTAATATCAGAATCCATTAGAATGTTTTTAACCTTTAAAACCTGATGCAAATTGTTTTTTTTTTGTTGTTGTTTGGGTTCGGTTTAAAATCTTGGTTCTAGCTTATATACTCATGCCTAATATTACCAATAGCTTTTCTCCTCCAACTGATCCCTAAATAAAATGCTCTAATTACTACGTGTTATATATCACCCAAAACCCATATACAATTAAACTATTTGTATAGTGATGCAGCAAGATATTTGGAAATTATCCAATATATCTTTATTATTCATTAGTTTATATACATAATTACCTTATATTTATATTTTCTGTATTTTAATAGTTTTCTATTTTAACTAAGATTACAGTTTTCTAGATTTAAGGTTTTATTATAAATATGCATTTAAGCCTAATGATGTATGCAGACTTTGATAATTAATAAAAGAAGCTCTGCTTTATACTTTGAAAGAGATTTGATTCAGTTCATCTATTTTAAGTTACGTTGAATAAGATTCAATTAAATTCATCTTCTTCAGGAAGTGAATATTTAGAAGCTATCGAAAGAAACTCTTGATTGATCGAAGAACAGGTCTCGAAGAACCCTAAGGTTCATTGATCGATCATTCAACCTATTTATCCGCTACATCAGTTGATATTTGCCAGCTCTATTAAACATATATTTATATTGCAATCATGGGACTTTTAAAAAATGTTTACAGATGAGACAGTTGTTCGTTATCTTGGACATGTGAAGAGTTTAATGGGCAATTTAGTAAGGTTCGATTTCTTTTTGTTAGGCAAACAAAATAATGTTAGGTAGCGATTAGCGAAAACCAATTCACTTTGAACCGAATGTTACATTTTATTTTCCAATATTTTATTTGAAGCCTGTTTAGACTATCTTATCTCTAAGTTTTGATGTGGATATTCTTTTTTCTTTATTTAAAATATGATGTGGATATTCTAAGAAACAAAACTATTCGTAGTGCAGGATTTACATACTACATGATTATAAAAGTAGTCTTTTTTTTTTTCCTTTCGAGAAACTTTTGTATAAGTCTCTAACCTAGCTAGGCATGGATGTTCAGGTCTCTCTTCGGATTTGAGAACAATTCGGATATCGGTTTTTGGGATTTTGGAAAATAGTCTCATTCGAGTATTACAAAAAAAACTAGTCAGATTTGAGTCGGGTTCTCTTGGTTTTGGGTGGGTTTGGATTTTAACTTAAGTAACCAAATTACTCGATTCTATTCGAATATTTTATATCTAAACTATTTAAACTTATCTGAAAATACCTAAAATCTCAAAATATTCAATATATATATGATTTAAATTGGTTATTTATTTGTTCGAAAATAACCATAGCTACAATATTATTTGGATATTATGTATCCAAACATCAATTTATATCTATAAATATCTAAAATAATTAATATATTTAATATATAATTTTAATTTTAGGTATTACTATTAGTAAAGGTATAACTATAAATATTTTTTTTCATATATAATTCTATGTTTGGATATGCTTGGATACTCATTCGGTTCTCAGTACAGGTCGGGTTTGGTTTTTATTTTTTTGGTTTTGAAAAAAAACATTTTGGATATTTAAGCTATATTCGACCAGATTCGATATCTTAATTTTCGAATCAATTAGTACGGGTATTATGTCCAGGTCTACTCTAACCAATACAAATAAATAGGTGAATTTAGACCGAGAAACGATGAAAAAATAAACCAAAAATTCATTGATCATAGGAAAAAGAAGATGAATAATATGAAACTTTAAGATATAAAAAAAAAACACCATTAATATAAAAAGTTAGTACCAACTATTTTATGGGTCTAATTGAAAATATGCTCTTTCAATTTATATGGTCTAATTGATCGTTCTGGATGTTTCTAATATCATATATAGTATTATAAATTATTATCAACTGGTCATATATGCACAACAAGTTGATTTACATAAAACGGAACATTACACAAAGTATATTTTCTGCCAACTGATAAGCTTAAAGATAAGTACTACATTAATAAATAGATTAATATATATATATAATACTACATTGATTTGACAATTACTGTTACTTCGAATTAAAAAACATTGGACAAATCATGAGAATGTCTCATCAGCTTAATCACCGTTTGATTAAACATATAAACATTTTCCTTATAACCAAACACAACAAAATAAATTACGTGCATGTGGGTTTTATGGTATAATTTCTTGCATGTGTGGTTGACGTTAGACAATTATATGTTTGCATGTGGTCGGAACATTGAGATTTTCAAAATAAAATTTTACACTAACCCTTTGGATGTATATAATTAGTATATAATTTCCATCTACTCTATTAAAATAGATTCATTCTTTTTATCTACCGATACAAGTTTTCATTTAAATTTGGACTCTTTCTAGAATGTTACAAATAATATAAGTCATAGAATTGATTGAACCGTACGTATTAATGTAAAAAGACGACCTTAATGTAAACTACCTTCAAAATACGGCAGATATATATGTGTATACCAAAAACACATATTTTCTCCTACAAATATGGAATGTTCTAAAAGAATATATATCATCAAAATATGGAATATGGAAATCTACTAATTATACTTAAATTAAACCAGTGGTTATTTATGGAATATAGTTTTGGGCTTACTTTTATTTTTTGAACAAATTATATAGTTTGGTTTTTGCGCTTAGTATTAAGAAAAAACTCCAAAAACATTTAATAAACTTTTCACCTTAAAAGATCAAAAAATCAATTATTATTTTCAGACCCAAAAGGTATTTAATATTTTTAACTAAACAAAATTATCTATTATTAATCATTTATTTAAATCATGTACTTTAAAACATGTTAATATATTTTTTTATTTTAAATAACAATCACTTTGTTTTGATAAATTTCAATGGTAACTTTTACATAATTTATTGTTTTATTTTTCTTAAATAATTTACTGATTAAAAAAATGTAAAGCAAAACCAAAAACCAAATCTAAAAACTAAAATCCAAAACCAAAAGCTGAAAACACATATTATATTTTTTTGCTTTGTTTATTTACAAAATAAACTATTTCAATTTTTTTAAAAAAAATTGTTTTCATCTTTTCAGTTTTAAATTAGATGTTCGATTATTTGAGATTTGTCTGTTGGTAATATTTGTTCAAACTAACTCAGCGGGTTTAAAAATTAAAAACTCAAACCAAAAACTGAAAATGAAAAGTAGAAACTTAAAAACTAAAAACCAAAATCCAAAATCTAAAAGTAAAAACTGAAACTAAAAACTAATGAAAAACAATCATCACCACAAATTTTGGTAAACTGATTTTGTATCAAAATATTATTTAAATTATAACAAAATCCAATTATATAAATTTTTAATTATAAAAAATTTCCGCGCTTTTAAGCGCGGGTCAAAATCTAGTTTATATACTTATTTGGAATGCAGAAATATTTTATGGTTAACAATATAAAAAAGCAATTCATGCTTAACTTGATTAGTTTTTTTTTGTATATTCTGATTTTAAAAATCAGTCCATTCTATAAAAATCAAAGCTCTTCAAAAAATCCTGGTCTAATTATACTTTACATTTTTATGAGAAACACAATGTAAAAGCAACTCCATTTATAATATCTCAGTGAAATAATATATATAGATATTTAAAATTTAATCTATTTTTTATAAAATTATTTCATATAAAACATTTTGTATGAGTATCTAATATTAAAATATCTACATATTCTTTTCTTATTTTGTTTTTGGGATAAAGATGATGACAAGAATGAATAAAATAATGTCCACAAAATCTTTGTGGCATGTCTGAAAATTTTCTCACCACTTGCCAAAAGTTGATTGGTCCCTTTTAACTTTTTCCTGTCTATTTGTAATTATTTTTATTTTCCTTTTCTACTTGACAATGCCATTCACCCCTATTTTTCTTGAATTCTTTCTCTATTTATACTACTGCACATAAATGTCACACACACACACATAAAAATCTTAACATCTCCCGAAAGGAAAACCCAAAACCTTCAAAAATTACGAAACAACCCCACTAGTAAAAATGAGAAAACATTTCGTCCATGTGACTCTCTCCTTCTTCACCTTCATCATCCTCTTAACTCCATCAACCGCAGAACCAGAACCTTCCTTTGTCTTCCCTATCCATCAACTCCTCAACAAAACCAGCTCATGGCTCGACTTCCCGACCAAATATAACCAACCAAAGATCGAACTAACCGCATCAACAATCATCGCCGCCGTACTCTCTTTCCTCGCCGCAACAATCTCAAGCGCCGGAGGCATCGGCGGCGGAGGTTTATACGTTCCGATAATGACCATCGTCGCGGGACTCGACCTGAAAACAGCGTCGAGCTTCTCTGCTTTCATGGTGACAGGAGGATCTATAGCTAACGTGGGATGCAATCTTTTCGTTAGAAACCCTAAAGCTGGAGGCAAGACGATGATAGACTTCGACTTAGCTCTGCTTCTTGAGCCGTGTATGCTTCTTGGAGTTAGTGTCGGAGTGATATGTAACCTTGTGTTCCCGAACTGGCTTATAACGAGTCTTTTTGCTGTGTTTCTTGCGTGGTCGACGGTGAAGACTTTTGGTAACGGGGTTTATTACTGGAAGATGGAGTCGGAGATGGTGAAGGTAAGAGAGGCGAGCCGTGTCCGAGAAGAAGATGAGGATAAGGTTGAGAGTGTGAAGTTGCCTCTTTTGGAAGATTATGAGAGACCGAAGAGGTTTCCATGGATGAAGCTTGGAGTTTTGGTGGTTATTTGGCTCTCTTACTTTGCAGTTTATCTTCTTCGTGGAAACAAATATGGCGAGGTAATTGATAAGTTTGATTTAATTTAATTAATTAGTATTGGTGTTATATTTGTTTTTTTTGGTAAAGATTGGTGTTATATTTGTTGAACGGAATTAGAAATTTTTAAGGTAGTGAAAAATAAGAAAAAAGCTTTGCAACTTTACAAAAATATTAAATCAAATTATTTGGTAATCATGATAACAGTATTTTGAGTGAAGATTCCTTTTTAGGCATCCAGTGAAACTTCCTTTGTCACGAGTTATTGTTATCCTTTTACTGAATCCAGTTATATTATATGTAAATTAATAATTTAGTCAAGATGGATTCTCATTAATAATGATTTTGTTACAATTTTCTGTAAGATATGATTCAAATGTTGGTTTCTAACACTAGTTTGTTAATTTTTAATACATGTTATGAAATTATTAGATAATTGATTTTACACTATGAAAATTAATCTTCTAGAAGTTTCAAGAAAAATATCCTATAATCCTGCTTCAGTGATAGAAAATCACATTTCTTAGGATTTGAATCATAAACAGAATATATAAGTCTTAATGAATAATTATTTGGGTTTTCTTTTACAAAAAAATTATTAATTAACATTTAAACCACGAGATTTCAACAGATTGAGTAAGTTAGTATCCTAATATTTTGATAATATACAGTGGAAGTAAATATTTCACACACAATTTCCATGTCGTAAATATGGTTTTTGTGTCTATTAACTGAGGGACGTACACGTACGTAAGTTATCATACAGTTTTTTTTTTTGGTAAACCAGCATGCCATTTATTAAATTCAGTTGGTATTTAGATTATGATACATTTAGGTGAAACTTAAGAGGGCCTGCGGAAGTGAGAAGTATTTTTTTTTTTTTTTGTCAAAGTGAGAAGTAATTAATCACGTTTAAATTGTTCTCATCTACCTGGATAACATTTATTTTTAGTGCTTTAAATATATATATATATTTTTTCTTTTTTGTGTGTGTGTGTATGTGTGGTGTGGGATGAAAAACGATAGGGACCTTTTTTAGTTAATAACGATGGCGAACTAGTTCACGTGGAGACAGATGTGGTTTCTCGATTTTAGGCCTATGTGGAAAATTTCGTGTCTTTTTCTTGTTACTATCTTTAATAAGTTTTTGCACTTTTTAAGATTCTGTAACCTTTTAGAGATCCCTGGGCTACTATTGTTTTATTTTATGTATTTTTCTTCTTAAGATAAAGTATATATGTAAGGTAAATTCTTGGTAAAAAAATAATATCTAGACCTTTTTTAAAAGCTTTTTGTTTCTTTTTACTATGATTTGGTTATTTTTATTAGTATAATTCTGGGTAGGGTGGATTCTCTTTGAAACTCTAGATATAATACGAAATCCACTTGTCCTCATTTTCGGTTTAGGAATGATTTCATTAGTCTTACATTGGATTTCTTGTTTTCTCCGTTTTGTTGAACAATCTTGATGATATGACGAATTTATACTCTAATCAATTTTAAAGACATTATAAAGTTACTTTGAGGACCAACTAATTAGTCTTATATTATTTTTGCATATAAATATGACAATGTGTACTAAGTAATTTACAGTCAATTAACTTATGAACTTCAATATCTTACATTTGCAGGGAATCATATCAATCGAGCCATGTGGAATCACTTACTGGCTCCTCTCATCAACTCAAATACCACTCACTCTTTTCTTCACTATTTGGATCTGCTTCAGTGAAAATGTTCAAGGCAACCAAAGTTCTAATCACCAAGTCTCAGTAAAGGTTCGATTTCACCCAAAACCAACAAACACTTATGAGTTGCCATAAAAAAGACAGAATTGACAAATATCTGAAAACGATTTTGCATGTGCAGGATGTAGAAGATTTGAGATCACATGATGGAGGAAGATCAAACAAGTGCATGTTTCCTGTAATGGCACTACTAGCTGGAGTTTTAGGTGGTGTTTTTGGGATTGGAGGCGGGATGCTCATCAGCCCTCTCCTCCTGCAAGTCGGTATCGCTCCCGAGGTAATTTTTTAGTTCTTGGATCGAAGAAAATACTTTCTTTCTCTAGATCAAGTAAATAGACTATGTTTTTGTTTTGATGTAGGTAACTGCAGCGACATGTTCTTTCATGGTATTGTTTTCATCAACAATGTCAGCGATTCAATATTTGTTACTTGGCATGGAACATACTGGAACTGCAAGTCTATTTGCGATTGTATGTTTTGTGGCATCACTCGTTGGACTAATGGTTGTTCAAAAGGTTATAAACCAGTATGGAAGGGCTTCGATCATTGTGTTCTCGGTTGGTATTGTCATGGCATTGAGCATTGTGTTGATGACCAGCTATGGAGCTCTCGATGTTTGGAATGATTTTGTCTCGGGTAGTTACATGGGGTTTAAATTACCTTGTTGAGACCAAACAAAAACGGTTTTGGTTTCTTTGGTTAATAATTCATAATAGATGTGTATACCATTATCTTCTTGCATGTGTGTTTGTTGCTCGCTGCTCCATTTTCTCATTAGAAGATTTCTACATTTTCTATGGTTTAAAACATTATTCAGAATGCACATCTCGTGCATTCGAATATATGGTCAAAATAAGATATACTTTTTAAACAAAAAAAAAAGATATGTTGTAGACCAATACTCGGAGTAATATCAAATTTATATATGTTATTGTGTTTGGATGTGTAAATCTCTGTACACTATCAAAATTGACATCTAGGGGGTATGTGTTTATCTTTTCGAACTAGAAAATTTTATTTTTTCTAGATAAATATATATTTTTCTAGAAAAAAATAAAATCAGATTTTGAGGCTGCTATACATATGAATTAAAGAATTGTAAATTAATTATTTATTTACATAATAATATACAATCTCTGAATGAATATTTGTTTCAATTCGTTTTATTCTCTTTTACTTTTTTTCGAGTTGATTCGCGTTTGTTCACAACACATGCATTTTATATGAGATACTTTGGAATTTAAGAATAACCAAAACTATCACGCTATAGTCTAACAACACTACTTGAAAGATTCATGTATACAAAACATAGCAATGACGATTGTTTTTTTACTTTTTTTTTTCAATACCATCCGCGTACAAAATATCTTATTTTGTTTGGATAGCGAATCTAGATATAAAATTGCCTGGATGCATAAAATGAATAAAATAAATTTTATTTTTTTGAGATAAATATGTATTTTTCTAGGAAAAATAAAATCAGATTTTGAGACTGCTATACATATGAATTAAAAAATTGTAAAATTATTTATTTACATAATAATATACAAATTCTAAATGAATATTTGTTTCAGTTCGTTTTATTCTCTTTTACCTTCTTTGACTTGATTTGCGTTTGTTCACAACAGATGCATTTCATATGAGATATTTTGGAATTTACAAATAACCAAAACTATCACATTATAATCTAACAACACTACTTGAAAACATTCATGTATACAAAACATAGCAATGACGATTGTTTTTTTCAATACCATCCGAGTACAAAATATCTTAGTTTGTTTGGATGACGAATCTAGATATAAAATTGGCTGGATGCATAAAATAAATTAGTGGATGCAGTAAATATGGTTTGTAATTTTTTTCTAGCATTTTTCTTATATAGATCCCACAAAATGGTCAAGGTTAAAAAATCAGTGGGTACATATGCCGATTTGCATGCGAGGCTATATATATGTGACGACCCAATCCGACAATGAACCAAGCGACAAAACCATTTGTAAGAAATTATGAGATTATTTTAGTCAGAAATTATACTAATGGTACTGCTCTAAAAGCTTTATTATCAATAATTTAGTATCCGTCTAGCTGTTAAAAATATAAAAGAATAGAAAATATTCTTATTACAGTTATCATTTACTGATTACTTAAACCTTTTATCATTTAAAATTAGTCATATTTAATTTATAAAAAATAGGATAATTATATCTATTATATAAAGTAATGTATCTCTCCTTCTAAACACTGCCACATAGGATGACATGTCATTAAGTCCATGTCAGCATTTTGTTTTGGGTTTTAATTGTTTGACTTTTCCTTATTATTCTGTGTTTTCTTTTGTATTGTTATGGCCCATTTATTCGCTTCCTTTGTCGACATTGATGAGACCAGAAGCTTCACTGGAGAACACCGAGAACTCCATCTCCGACCGGTTTGAACCGCTTGCATAATTCTCATTCCAATCGTTAGAGTATTAATCCAGTGAATAGCTTTGATGAGAAAATTCCAGCTTATCTGAATCTGCTTCCTCTCACCATCGCTTAAACATCAATCTCAGAAACTTAAACCTTGAGGATACTCCACTTAATTCAATCTAAAGTGAAAATTGATTCCTATCCAGTTTAAGAACCAAGCATATCTAACGAACAGAACTAAAATCTCCTAAATCAGCGGTATAAAGATTTAAACCAAAAAGGAGAATAGAAAAAACCCGATCTAACTGGATCGGAACTTTATTAACCAAGCTAAAATCAGAGACAGAAGACAAAACTCATGAAGGAAAGCTCGATCTTAGCTTGGTAACACAAAAAAAAAGAAACAAAAGATGTCAATCTCCCTGTGAAAGATTTTAATTTGTAAACAGAGAATTGAGAGAAACTTTCTCTCTATGAAGGAGAGAGAAAAACCTTATTGTGCTTCCTCTGTCGACATTATAGTAAAAATCTTACCGTCAGCATTTATATCAAATAAAAAAAACTGTAGATTCCAAAATATAGAAACATAAATGCTAATAAAACCGTATCCTTGACTGCACCACCGGTTGCTATATAAACATAGAACTCTCAGCCTCTTCTCATCAAATATAAGCACATGGAAAACTCTCCCAAACACTCTCCACCCTCTTCTCATCAGGATTCAAACGATGTGTCACTTTTTTACATCGTAGACAACATGTTTCTATACTGTAAAAATATATTTTTCACTTTTATACAGTTACCAGCATTTAATTTCATAATTTTGTTATTAACAATTTATATTAAAATAATAGATATTGCAGTTAATACTATCTTAAAAAAGAATCTATCAGTTAACTTATAATTTTAAAAAACTATTATTATCATTTGACACGAAATTTAATCCATGTTTTTTAAATTTAATAATCAGTACGTGACAAGACAAAAGTATAACCCATAAAACATAAATCAATTACATATCACGTAGACTACATTTATATGAAGATTGGTAACCTTATATCGATTCGCACATTTAACAAATGGAAAGGCATAACTAATAATATATAACCCACAAACAATACGAAATCTAATAACCGAGATCGTATATAAAGTATAACCCGCCCGTAGGGCGGGCCGGACCTAGTTTATAAGATTTTGAAGAAGGATCTTACCGTTAATGTTTGAAGAATTTTTCTCTTTTTTTTCCGACACATCCTTCTTTTTCCGTTCTGAGCTCTGACACATTCTTATCGTTTTTCAAGTAAATAAATCTAATTTTCTGGGCTTCGCTTTTCTTTCAGTTTCAGATTTCTCTCTATTTGGGCTTTGGTCGTTTGGGTTATATTTTTCCCTGAAATTTGAGAATAAATTTAATTGATCTCATAAAATCCATAAAATCGTTTTGTTCTTTGTAATTGACTAATTTTCAACATAAATCGCTCCGTTAATTTGTTAAAAAAAAAAAAAATCGCTCCGTTAATAAATTGTAAACTGTATAAAATTCAAATACATATTAGTAAAGTCACATTTACATAAACAAGCACTTAAGTTCCTTCCTTAATTAACTAACAAACCTTAAATCCTAATTCCTTTAACACAAATAAAAAAAAAAGAAAAAAGAAAAAAAAGGAAACCCCTAAGTATCTTATTGGAAGACAGCAAACACACTTCCCTTTATATTCCTTCTCCCAAACTGTACTTGCCGTCTCACAGACAAAACCCTAAGCACTTCTCTCCTCTCCTCTCTCTCTCCCTCGAATCTCCCCAATGTCGAAGAAGCGTAACCCTCTCGAAGATCCACCCGCCGCTTCTTCAAGCGAAGACGAAGAAGTCGAATCTTCCGCCGGAGAAGAAGACGAAGAAGAAGAAGACTCCTCATCTGAAGAAGAAGAATCTCCCGTCAAACCTCCCCCCTCCTCCGCCGTCACAATCGCCGTCCCAGGCAAACCCGCCGCCACCCTCCCCGCCGCCTCCGATTCAGAATCCGGATCCGAGACCGAAACCGACTCCGAATCCGAAACCGAACAGCCACCGATCAAGAAAGCATCATCATCTGGAAAAGCCATCCTCACAGCAAAGCCGAAAAAAGACGACAACTCTCCCGCAGCTCCTCCGCCGCCAGCTGCGTTAGCTTTACCGGCGGCGGGGAAGAAGCGTCCGAGCGAAGGAACAACATCGAAGGAGACCAACACGAAACGTCCTAAAAAGGACGGAGAAGACTCGAAGAAGCCTGCTGCATTCCAGAGATTGTGGACCGAGGAAGACGAGATCGCCGTGTTACAAGGTATGATAGATTTCAAGAACGATACAGGGAAGTCTCCTTACGAGGATACTAATGTTTACTACGATTATATCAAGAAGTCTATTAGCTTTGAGGTTAGTAAGAACCAGTTCATGGATAAGATTAGGAGTTTAAGGAAGAAGTATATCGGTAAGGAGAAGGCTTCTTACACGAAGCCGCATGATCAGAAGTCTTATAAGTTGTGTCAGTATATCTGGGGACCTGATGGGATGGGTCTTGAATCCGCGGTTAAGTCGAACGGCGCGTCGAAAAAGAGTCAGAAGAAGACTAAGAAGCTTGACTCTGTGAAGCAGGAGCTTTCTTTTGGTGGTGCCTCGCCCAATGGTAAGACGGTTGATGATGATGAGAAAGATGTGGAGGTGACGGTTGCTGTTGCTAAGAAACTTGATTGGTTCGAGAACTCGTTTCTTGTTAAGGCGATTGCCGGGTTCGGTGTTGATGAGCATTGTGTGAAACAGAGATGGAGTTTGGTTCCGGGAGAGGCCAAGAAGAAGGTTGAAGAGAAGCTTAAGGTGTTGCAGGCCAAGGAAATTGAGTTTGTGTTGCAGAAGACTGAGGTTTTACATGAAGTGACCTCTATGATCGCTGAAGCATCTAAGAACTAGACATTAGATATATAAATTGAATGCAAATTTCTCTTTTTTTGTTTTGTTTTGAACTTACGGTTTACCCTTTTTATTCCCTGTTATGATCTATCTGTGTAATTTTCTGGTTTATTTTGATGGTTTTCTCTCATATGAAACTCTTTTGAATTTGCTGTGCTTATATATAAAAGCACCATTGAAGTAGATTCTGTCAAAGCCTAACGCATTTAGGTGATGAAAACTATGAACAGATATGAGTGATACAACTTTGTATCATTTGGTGCTCCACAGTAAAACCTAAAGATAGAATTCATCCAAAAACTATATTAATGATATGAATTCAGTTCAAAAATCTTTAGAGTAACATAGTAGATGATGTTAGTTAATAAGCTAGGCAATAACAATTCAAAGTTACTGGAAGTACAGTGTACTATTCAAGATTTAAAAGTTTTACACCAGATTTATTTGGGTTCAATTTCTAAAAGATGCAATTTCTTATAGATTATAAGATGCAAAATTTTTCGGAAATTTCAGAGTATCGCTGATAGAACTATTGGTTATGATTGTGTTTCAAAAAGAGCTGTTGAACTTGGATCTCTTAGAACAGTCTTAGGGTATCTTTATCCCAAAAATCCATATGAGTTTCCTATTAATTTTTTTTTTTTTTTATCTTATAAAAAAAAAATATTTAAAATGGAACCAATTGTGGACTGCCACGTGTCGATGGAACCCACAAACAGTACAAAAACCCCTTAAAACCGTATTTTATTTCGCGAATTTTGGAACTGTCTCTTGTGGATTTGTGGATTTGTGGATCCCCTCCCCCTAAGAAACGCAAAAACATGCACGATAGTCCTATTGACAATATCTCAAAGGTATCTATTCTTTATTAAATGTAAAAAGGAAAAAAACACGAGAGAAAGCAACATTGATGAGAATTAATTCTCAAGGAAGATACTCACAAAGAAACATTAGAAACTCTGCAATACATGTCAGCTTTTTAGTGGTTTCCCGCCGGATTCGGTTCGGTCGATTCGGATTATCAGATTTTCGATACTATGTTCATAAGTCTCATTCGGATTTTACTAATTATCGGGTCGGTTCAGTTCGGTTCCTTCTAACTTTGGTTCAGATTTAATTATAACTAATGTATAAAATTGTTCAAAAATATTTTTAAAAACTTATAAAAAAAGGTACTCAATTATAAATTATCCACAAAACTAACTAAAAACATGTTAAACTACTTAAATTAATTATAAGTATTCAAAATAAAAATTAAATAAACTATAAAAATCTCTAAAATAGTCAAACATCTAAATTACCTTAACATATATAAAAATAGTAGCATATTTCACTAATTTTGGATATAGTCGGATCCAAATTTTGATTCTGGTTTGGTTCGGGTTGTATCCATACCTCAAAGTACCAAGCTCTCAAATCCCATTTGAAGATTCTTATATAACGGTTTAAATCTGGTTTCGCTTTTTTCGGTTTGGACTAAAATAGGGAGTTCGTATAAAAACGCCCATGCTTAGTTTAAAAGCTAGAAAAATCTATGCTATTTTTTTGCGAAGTGATTTTTCGCAACAGAGTTTCCACGTTAAAAGTTAGAATGATTAATATCTATACTACCCCTTATAAAATTTATATACAATTTATAATATACTTAAAAACAAAATTTATAAAATAATATTAGAATAGTATGTTATTATTGTAAATAACTGAGGATAATTAATATAATAATTTTATCAAAAAATTTTCAAAAATAAAATAATTTATATATACATATATATGTTGTTGTTATCTAAATATAATATTGGAACAACATGACAATGCTTATATATCTTAATTTTATATATAACTTATTTTGTAATTTTAAAATATTATCATTCTATTATAAAATATAAAATATTTATAATTAAATATTAATCAAGTAAAAACAATTGTATAAAGTTATCCTTAATTATATAATTAATTGGACCGGTTGAAGTCAATGATATCCTTAATGAAATAATATATAACTTAATTAAAACGAATTTTATCTTAGTGATATATACTTATATGGTATTATATTAGTTAATTGATTATATATTAATAGAATAATTATCCACATAAATGCATATTTAAAAAATAAGATATGTTATAAAATATTTTATTGTTATCTGGAAATAATGTGTTCTATTACGAAAAATAAAAATATAAGTTATAAAACAATTCAAAATAAATATTAAAAACAAATACAAATATAGTTTCAGAAATAATTTAATGCAGATGTTTTTCACTATAATAAGCATATATATTTTGATGAAATTTTGTCATATAAAAATAGTTTAATGTTTGATTTAGGTTTTTTAAAACTATTGTAAATAACTTATGATGTTATTTTGAAATTAATAAAACAAAAAATAATAAATATTCGTAAGAAAATTATGCTCGCATATGTGGGCACAAGACCTAGTAAAATATAATTGTGTAACTAATTGTTAATATTTTATTGAAAAAACTCTTCCTGAGAAATTGTATCTGGTCTGTTTATCTCTATTTCTCAATTAATTTATTGGTGGGATACTTCATGAGATACTCCCAAACAAATTAGTCATTAGAACATCTTTAATGGAAATTCTAACTCCAAGATTCTTAAATTACATATATGTGTAATGTTGATATTTAATTATAAGATTTTAAACCAAACTAAAAAGTTATTTGTAGAGTTAGAACTCTCCATTAGAATTGTTCTTAGTTGTTACAAATATCTCGTGCTTAGTGCTTACCTTCTAAAAAGCCTTTTGATCAATGGTTGTACCAAATAAGCAGACTATAAGCTTTGCCATTTTTTATATATCTGCCTCCTAATATAAGAGCATCATCAATGGGGTTATTTAAAGGGTGTTTAATACTTTTGTCAATGGGTTCCACAAAAAAACATTAAGCATCTCTTCTTAAAATGTTTAATTAAGCATCCGAAATAACGGAAACCGATCAAAGGATTAGGGATATACGCCGCCAGTATTTTCCAGATTTTATATTCCTAATGGAAACGAAGCAAAAATTTAGTTACATGGATGCTTTAAAATCAAGTTTGGGGTATGATTGCTTACACACGGTGGAACCAATTGAACGTAGTGGTGGGTTAGCTTTAATGTGGAAAAGTTGCTACGTAGTAGATATTATCAATAGTGATAACAGAATTATCGACCTCAAAGTAACAATGGGTTCTATGGTGTTTTTTCTTTCATGTGTATATGGAGATCCTGTGAGAGGGAGAAGACGCTTTGTGTGGGAAAAATTAACGGATATTGGTGTGGTTAGAGATGACGCATGAGTTCTGGTTAGGGATTTTAATGAACTAATGCATAATGGAGAAAAATTAGGAGGTCCTACAAGAGAAGAGACCACATTCTTTGACTTTCGGAATATGGCTGAGGCCTGTAAAATTCGGGAAATGCGGTCCACGGGTAATACTCTTTCATGGGCAGGTAAAAGGGATCATCATTGGATACAATGCCGTTTAGATAGGACCTTTGGTAATGCTGAGTGGTTCCGACTATTCCCTCAATCGTCAACAGATTATATGAGTATGTGGCCTTCTGATCATCGGCCACTACGCGTTGAGTTTGCCCTCAAACCAGAAAACTTGCAAAGGGGACGGATTTTTTTCGATAGACGGTTATATGGGAAGAGAGGGGTCGAGGAGGCCATTATTCGAGGATGGAACGGAGACAACATTAACTCGAATCTTAATGTTCTTGATCGTATTGCTCGATGTCGGTCAGAGTTGTCCAAGCTTAAAAAAACTAATGACTAGAATTCAAAAACAAGGATAGAACGGTTGCAAATTGATTTGGATAAGGAAAGCTCAAAGAAATTTCCTATTTCTGGTTTGCTAAGGAGACTACGGCATGATTTGGCAGTGGCCTATAGAGAAGAGGAAATTTTTTGAAGGCAAAAAAGTAGAGAAGAATGGCTACGGGAAGGGGATAGGAATACAACTTATTTTCATAATGATGTTAAAGGAAAAAAGATGAGAAATAAGATTTTGATGCTTAAAGATATTTTTGGTAATGAAAATTATTCGGAAGGGTCTATAGGGCATATTGCCACAGAATATTTTAGAGACTTATTTTCTAGTTCAAACCCAAGTGATTTAGAAACTTTGTTTGATGGTTTTCAAAGTCGGGTTACTTCGGAGATGAACAATTCATTAATCAGAGAAGTCTCTTCTGATGAAATTAAAAAGGCAGCTTTTGGTATTAAAAGTAGTAGTGCTCCAGGCGAAGATGATCTTACCGGTTTTTTCTACCAAAAATATTGGCACATAGTGGGTCAGAAAATTATTGATGATGTTTAAGGTTTTTTTAAAACAGCCATTATTCCTGCTGGATGGAATCATACACAGTTATTCCTATTACCAAAAATTTTACATCCTACAGAGATGAAGGATATGAGACCCATTAGTCTGTGTAGTGTTCAATATAATATTATTTCACGTATTTTATGTGAACGGTTGAAGGTTATTATGCTTAATATAATTTCAGAAACGCAAGGAGCTTTTGTAGAAGGCCGTTTAATTACTGATAATATCATTATAGCTCATGAATTAGTTCATGGGCTACGAACAAATGATAAGCTTGGTAGAGAAAGTATGACTATTAAAACTGATATGTCTAAGGCTTATGATAGAGTTGAATGGAACTTTCTCGAGGTCTTATTAGAGAAATTGGGTTTTGATCGCAAATGAGTTGTATGGATATTGTCATGCATTACAACAGTTACTTTTTCAGTATTACTTAATGGACGCTCCCATGGTTTTATTAAACCGGAAAGAGGAATACGCCAAGGAGATCCGTTATCCCCTTTCCTTTTCATTTTATGTGCAGAGAGGCCTTGGTACATGTTTTGAATAGAGCCGAGGCTGCAGGGAATTTACATGGTATTAAGTTAGCCACAGGTAGTCCTTCGGTTCATCATCTGTTATTTGCTGACGACAACTTATTGTTGTGTGAAGCTTCTACCAGGGACAGTGAAGAAATTATGAAAGGGCTGAAACTTTATGGGGATGCGTCGGGGCAAATGATTAACCCCTTGAAATCTTCCATCATTTTTGGGAAAAAAATAGCAGAAGACACCAAACAAGCAGTAAAGAGGGTCCTGGGGATTGAAAAGGAAGGTGGTGAGGGTTCATATCTTGGAC